ATGGCCATCCAGCCTCAATAATAATAATAATACCATAAAATCTTAATAATAATAATAAGCCAGTAAAGGTGGTTCCAGTGGGGATCAGCACACTGGGTACAGTGCCTAAAGACCTTGGCCTGCACTTAAACACAATCGGCGCTGACGAAATTACCATCCGTCAGCTGCAAAAGACCACCCTACTGGGATCTGCATGCATTATTCGCTGATACATCACATAGTCCTAGACACTTGGGAAGTGTCCAACGTGTGATCCAATACAACAACCAGCATAGTGATCTTGTTTGCTGTGGACTCATCTTGTTGTGTTTCAAATAATAATGTAATAACAATAAATAGAATAGGAAGAGATCAGATCCCCAAGGGCCATCTAGTCCAAACCCTTTCTGCCCTCATGCAGGAAAAGCACAATTAACGCCCTCCCAACAGATGGCCATCCAGTCTTAATAATAATAATAATAATAATAATAGAGTCGGAAGAGATTCCCAAAGGCCATCCAACCCAACCCAGTCTGTCCGTCCGTCTGTCCGTCCATGGCCATGGACTATGATTTCGGATAATGTGATTTTAAATAGTGTTTTAGAGTTTGATATATTGGTTTTTAATTATCGTTTTAATATAGCTGTTTATTTTACTATATATGTATGTTTACATGGCACTGAATCATTGCCTATACATGTAAGCCACCTTGAGTTCTCTACAAGGTTGAGAAGGGCAGGGTATAAATAGGGTAAATAAATGAAATAAAAGATAATAATAATAATAATAATAATAATAATATGCCTCTATCTATCTTAAGGGATTGGATGACCCTTGGGGGTCTCTTCCTCTATCTGTCTGTCTGTCCATCCGTCCATCCAACACTACAACTAACTAACTGTCGGTTGGTCGATCTGTCCATATATCCACCAATACATTTCTCTCTTTCTCTATATCTCTACCTATCTACCTACCTATCCATCCACCTATGTATATATGTATCTACGTAACTACCTACCTACCTACGTATTCATCTACCTGCCTTTCTACCTGTCTGTTGGTTTGTCTACCTACCTATCTACCTGTTTCTCTACCTACCCACCTACGTACCTATCTGTCTATCTATCTACCTACTTATCTATCTACTTATCTTTCTACCCGTTTGTCTATCTATTATTTATTTATAATTATAGAAATTATAAATATATATAAATAATTATAATTATACAAATAAATATTTATCTATCTACCTATCTACCTGTCTGTCTATCCATCTATCTATCTTTCTATCTACCTGCCTACTTACCTGTCTATATCTACCTATCTATGTACCTACCTATCTACTGTCTGTTTATCTATCTACCTACTTACCTATTACTTATCTATCTATCTACCTGTCTATCTATCTACCTACCTATCTGTCTATCTATCTATCTTTCTACCTATCTACCTACCTGTCTATATCTACCTACCTACATACCTACATATCTACCTGTCTGTATATCTATCTACCTACTTACCTATCTATCTACTTGTATATCTGCCTATCTACGTACCTATCTATCTACTGTCTGTTTATCTATCTATCTATCTATCTATCTATCTATCTATCTATCTACTTACCTATCTACTTATCTATCTACCTGTCTATCTATCTATCTATCTATCTATCTATCTATCTATCTATCTACCTATCTACCTGTCTATATCTACCTACCTACATACCTACCTATCTACCTGTCTATCTACCTACTTACCTACTTATCTATCTATCTACTTGTATATCTGCCTATCTACGTACCTACCTATCTACTGTCTGTTTATCTATCTATCTACTTACCTATCTACCTACCTACCTGTCTATATCTACCTACCTACCTACATACCTACCTATCTACCTGTCTATCTATCTACCTACTTACCTACTTATCTATCTATCTATCTACTTGTATATCTGCCTATCTACGTAGCTACCTATCTACTGTGTTTATCTATCTATCTATCTATCTATCTATCTACCTACTTATCTATCTACTTATCTATCTACTTATCTATCTATCTATCTATCTATCTATCTACCTACCTACCTATCTACCTGTCTATATCTACCTACCTACATACCTCCCTATCTACCTGTCTATCTATCTATCTATCTATCTATCTATCTATCTATCTATCTACTTACCTACTTATCTATCTATCTACTTGTATATCCGCCTACCTATGTACCTACCTACCTATCTACCTACCTATTGGTCTGTCTCTGTATCTATCTACCCACTTACCTATCTACTTATCTGTCTGTCTACCTACCTACCTATCTACCTGTCTATCTTTCTACCTGCCTATCTACCTGTCTGTCTGTTTACCTACCAGACTATTGGTCTATCTATCTATCTATCTATCTATCTATCTATCTATCTATCTGCCTGCCTGCCTGCCTGCCTGCCTGCCTGCCTGTCTTCTTACCTACCTACCTACTGGTCTATACCTACCTACCTACCTACCTACCTACCTATCAATCCATCCATCCATCTATCCAATACATTTCTGTCTTTCTCTATTTAGCTATCCACCTGTGTCTTTCTCTATCTAATCTATCTATCTATTCATCAATCCAGCCATTCGTCAATACACGTTTATCTAAAACAGTGGCTCTTAACCTGTGTCCCCAGGGGTTTTGGCCTACAACTCCCAGAAATCTCAGCCAGTTTACCAGCTGTTAGGATTTCTGGGGGTTGATGGCCAAAACATCTGGGGACCCACAGGTTGAGAAACACTGGTCTAAAGGGATGGGACTGGGTGGCCTTTGGGGGTCCTTTCCAACTCTAAGATTCCATCTCTCTGTGCCACGCGTTGCTGTGGCCCACATGGGGGTTCTGTGTGGGAGGTTTGGCCCAATTCTATCATTGGTAGGGTTCAGAATGCTCTATGATTGTAGGTGAACTATAAATCCCAGCAACTACAACTCCCAAATGTCAAGATTCTATTTTCCCCAAACTCTACCAGTGTTCACATTTGGGCATATTGAGTATTTGTGTAGAGTTTAGTCCAGGTCCATCATTGTTTGAGTCCATAGTGATCTCTGGATGTAGGTGAACTACAACTCCAAAACCAAAGGACACTGCCCACCAAACCCTTCCAATATTTTCTGTTGGCCATGGGAGAACTGTGTACCAAATTTGGTTCAATTCCATTGTTGGAGAGGTTAAGAATGCTCTTTGATTGTAGGTGAACTATAAATCCCAGCAACTACAACTCCCAAATGTCAAGATTCTATTTTCCCCAAACTCTACCAGTGTTCACATTTGGGCATATTGAGTATTTGTGTAGAGTTTGGTCCAGGTCCATCATTGTTTGAGTCCATAGTGATCTCTGGATGTAGGTGAACTACAACTCCAAAACCAAAGGACACTGCCCCCTAAACCCTTCCAATATTTTCTGTTGGTCATGGGAGAACTGTGTACCAAGTTTGGTTCAATTCCATCATTGGTGGGGTTCAGAATGCTCTTTGATTTTAGGTGAACTATAAATCCCATCAACTACAACTCCCAAATGACAAAATCAATTTTTTTAGTGAAGGGCATACATTGGGTTGTTAGGTGCCTTGTGTCCAAATTTGGTGTCAATTCGCCCAGTGGTTTTTGAGTTGTGTTAATCCCACAAACGAACCTTACATTTTTATGTATATAGATTATTATTATTGAGGCTGGATGGCCATCTGTTGGGAGTGCTTTGATTGGGCTCTTCCTGCATAATGCCAGAAGGGGTTGGACTGGAGAGGTCCCTTCCAGTTGGAGGATTCTCTCTCTGTCTCTAGACTGGAGGACTCCCCACAGTCTGGGTGCCTCTCTCTGCCTGCCTTCGGGGGTGGGACTGGCTGGCCTTGGGAGGTTCCCCTTCCCAGGTTCCCACTCACCTGGCAGGTGCGGGCGGTCTCCCCGTGGTGGCACCAGAGGGGCGGGGCTTGGGGGCAAGGAGGGCCCCCCAACACAGCGCCCCCCAAAAGGGACACACTGGCCGACAACACCCAGAACAGCCTCGCCAGAGCCATGAGCTCGTCCTTCTGGCCAGGGAAGAAGCCCAGGAGGGAGGGAGGAGGCTCCTTTGGGGAGGGGGGGCCGGGTTGGCTCCTCCCTCTTTCTCCCTCAGCAAGCTGTTCTCCCTCTGGTCCGCCACCGGGAGGAGGAGGAGGAGAAGGAGGAAGCAGCCCTTCTTCCCTTTGCCCTCCCCAGCAGGGTTGGGCTTGATGACCTTCAGGGGTCCCTTCTCGCCAGCCAATTTCTTCTCCTTCCTTTCTTTCCCTTCATTCCTTCCTTCTTTTACTTTCTTTCCTTCCGTTTCCTTCATTCCTCCCTCCCTTTTCCTTCATGCCTTTATTCTTTCTTTTTCCCTTAGTTCCTTCCTCCCTTTTCTTTCTTTCTTTCCTTCCTTTTGCTTCATTCCTTCCTTTCCTTCCTTCTTTCTTTTTCCTTAGTTCCTTCCTCCCTTTTCTTTCTTTCCTTCCTTTTCCTTCATTCCTTCCTTTCCTTCGTTCTTTCTTTTTCCTTAGTTCCTTCCTCCCTTTTCTTTCTTTCCTTCCTTTTCCTCCATTCCTTCCTTTCCTTCTTTTTACTTAATCTCTTCTTTGTTTTACTTTCTTTCCTTGCTTCCTTTTCCTTAATTCCTCCCTCCCTTTTCTTTCTTTTTCCTTAGTTTCTTCCTTTTCTTTTTCTTTTCTTTTCCATTTCCTTCATTCCTTCCTTCTTTCTTTTTCCTTAGTTCCTTCCTTTTCTTTTTCTTTCCTTCCTTTTCCTTCATTTCTTCCTTTCCTTCCTTCCTTCTTTTTCCTTAGCTCCTTCCTCCCTTTTCTTTCTTTCTTTCCTTCCTTTTCCTTCATTTCTTCCTTTCCTTCCTTCCTTCTTTTTCCTTAGCGCCTTCCTCCCTTTTCTTTCTTTCCTTCCTTTTCCTTCATTCCTTCCTTCTTTTTCCTTAATCTCTTCTTTGTTTTTTAGTTCCTTCCTCGCTTTTTCTTTTATTTCTTTCCTTCCTTTTCCTTCATTCCTTCCTTTCCTTCCTTCTTTCTTTTTCCTTAGTTCCTTCCTCGCTTTTTCTTTTATTTCTTTCCTTCCTTTTCCTTCATTCCTTCCTTTCCTTCCTTCTTTCTTTTTCCTTAGTTCCTTCCTCCCTTTTCTTTCTTTCCTTCCTTTTCCTTCATTCCTTCCTTTCCTTCGTTCTTTCTTTTTCCTTAGTTCCTTCCTCCCTTTTCTTTCTTTCCTTCCTTTTCCTCCATTCCTTCCTTTCCTTCTTTTTACTTAATCTCTTCTTTGTTTTACTTTCTTTCCTTGCTTCCTTTTCCTTAATTCCTCCCTCCCTTTTCTTTCTTTTCCTCCCTCCCTCCCTTTTCTTTCCTTCTTTTCTTCCCTTCCCTTTTTTTTCTTTCCTTCCTTCTTTTTCTTTAATTCCTTCCCTTTACTTTCTCTTAATCGTAGTGAACTGCAGGTGAACTACGATAAAACCAAAATCTTGGCGTTTGGGAAAAGCAACAAAAGACAAGTCTGGAAGATAAAGGGCCACTATATTGAGCAAGTAAAACATTTCAAATACCTAGGTCTCTGGTTTAGCAACAACTTGTCATGGTCCACCCACTTAAAATATACACTGGCCCGGGCCAAATCGAGTGGCAGTGCAACCAGGAGGTTCTTCCACTCCAGGGGTAATCAATATATCCCCCTAGCTCTGCAAGTCTTCAAAGCAAAGGCGATGTCACAACTTCTCTATGGAGCACCCATCTGGTTAACCCCCAATAACAGCGCCATCAGATCTTTTCATTCGAAATTCCTCCACAAACTATATGGTGCCCCCAACTGTGTCCCGTATGCAGTTCTTTGTCTTGAATCTGGGCAATATTCTATTGAGGCTACTATCTGGCTAATCGTCATCAAATTTTGGCTATCTATACACTATCAAAGTCCCAGCGACTCTCTGACTCAACTCACCTTGAGCGAACTCCACCACTCCAAATGGTGCTCAACTGTCCTAGCAAAGATCGGGGAATTGGGCTACGACAGCGATTTCCTGACTCTACTATCTTTTACCGAGATTTTTACCCTCATCAAAAGGAGGCTGCTAGAAAGGGACCACAACCAATTGTTGAGCTTGGCAAACAAATCCTGCTCACCTATTAACTTGGCAATCCCATACACACAGGGAAATCCAGCCTTTTACATCACGGAGCTCACCAACCCCTCTTACAGAAGAGCCTACATGCTGGCTAGATTTAACATCATGCCATCGCCGCTCCATAGAGGAAGACTCAATGGCCTCCCGAGCGACAAGAGGGTCTGCCTCTGCAGCACAGGACAGCTAGACTCCATACCGCATATTCTCCTGCACTGTCCACTCTACCAGGAGCTAAGATCCAGCCTGCTAACACAAGCTATAGATTCACTGAAGAACCGCAGTGATTCTGACAAAGTGATTTTGCTTTTAAATTGCCAGGACTTTAGCTGCTGCCTTTCAGTGGCAAGATTCCTGAATGAAGTCTGCAAACTGAATGTGTAGCAAACGAGAAGCCCTTTTTTTATTACGTGTACTATGTTTTATACTCTCTGCCATGTTATGCCAATAAAGGCTTATTGTATTGTTTGTTGTACTTTCTCTTAATTCCCTCCTCCCTTTTCTTTGTTTCCTTTTCCTTCTCCCTTTTCTTCCTTACTTTTCATTAATTCCTTCCTTTATTTTCTTTCCTTCCTTTTTTTCCTTTTCCTTCCCCCCTCTCTTCCTTTTCTTTCTTCCCTTCCTTTCTTCCCTTCCTCCTTCTTTCTTTTTCCTCCCTACCTTCCTTTTCTTTTTTCTTTCTTTCTTTTCTTTCTTTTCTTCCCTTCCTTCTCCTCCCTCCCTTTTCTTCCTTCCTTCCTTCCTTCCTTCCTCCTTCCTTTGATTTGACCTGAAAAGGCCGCCTCCTTTTCTCCTTCTCATTCACACTAGATGTGTTCTGTCACTTTTGTGTGTCTTCCGTTGCTGCCTTTAAGACCCCTTCACCAGCCTTAGGAACACACAGAATAATAATAATAATAATAATAATAATAATAATAATAATAATAATAATTTTTGTGTCATGAGCTACTTGAGAAACTGCAAGTTGCTTCTGGTGTGAGAGAATTGACTGTCTGCAAGGATGTTTCCCAGGGGACGTTGCCTGGACGTTTTTCATGTTGTGTGGGAGGCTTTTCTCATGTCCTTGCATGGGGTGCTGGAGCTGACAGAGGGAGCTCCTCCACGCTCTCTCTGGATTCGAACCTCCAACCTCTCAGTCTTTTTTAAAAATATATTTTTTATTATTTTATCATAATTATTACATTTATTATACATTTGTTTATAGTAGTTACATATTATTCAACACCCTCTTTAACATATAATCTTATTCTTCTGTTCCAACCTCTCAGTCTTCAGTCCTGCCAGCACAAGGGTTTAATCCATTGTGCCACTGGGGGCTCCTAATAATAATAATAATAATAATAATAATAATAATAATAATAATAATAGCAGCAGAGAAACAACTGGAAAAGCTGACACGATATGAGGATTTTAAAATTGAACTGCAAAGACTCTGGCACAAACCAGTCAAGGTAGTCCCAGTGGTGATTGGCACACTGGGTGCAGTGCCTAAAGACCTTGGCCTGCACTTAAACACAATCAGCGCTGACAAAATTACCATCTGCCAGCTGCAGAAGACCACCTTACTGGGACCTGCACGCATTATCCGCCAATACATCACACAGTCCTAGATACTTGGGAAGTGTCCGACGTGTGATGCAATTCAACAGCCAGCAGAGTGTCTGCTGTGGACTCATCTTGTTGTGTTTCAAATAATAATAATACTACTACAAGGATTTAAAGATCGAACTGCAAAGACTCTGGTACAAGCCAGTCAAGGTAGCCCCAATGGTGATCGGCACGCTGGGTGCAGTGCCTCAAGACCTTGGCCTGCACTTAAAAACAATTAGTGTTGACAAAATCACCACCTGTCAGCTGCAAAAGGCCACCCTACTCGAATCTGCATACATTTTTTGCCGATATATCACATGGTCCTAGACACTTGGGAAATGTCCGATGTGTGATCAAATACAAAAACCAGCAGGGTGAGTTTGTTTGCTGTGTATTAATCTTGTTATGTATCAAATAACAATAATGTTTATTTCTATCCTTTCCCCTCTCACCGAAGGGACTGGATGGCCTTTGGGGATCTCTTCATCATCATGATGCAGAGACTGGATGGCCATCTATCGGGTGCTTTGATTGTGCTTTTCATGCTTGGCAGAAAGAAGGGGGTTGGACTGGATGGCCTTTAGAGGTCTTTTCCAACTCTATGATTCTTTAGGTGTCTTTAAGAGGGAGGTTGGGTCCATCCATAGAGTTATAGTTCACCTGATGGCAGGTGAACTATAATTCCAAGTAATAGCAACTCCCAAATGTCAGGATCTGTTTTCCCTAAACTCCACCAGTGTTCAAATTTAGGCATTTTGAGTATTTCATGCCAAGTTTGATCCAGATCCATAGTTGTTGGGTTTCTCAGATCTCTCCAGATGTAGGTGAACTACATCTCCCCTAAATCCCTGCCAATTTCTCCCAAACCCCTCCAGTATTTTCTGTTGGTCATGTGGGTTCTCTGTGCCAAGTTTCATCCAGTTCTGTAATTTGTGGGGGTCTCAGTGGTCTGTGGAGTCAGAGCTGAATCGGTTGAAGGTACATTCAAAGTCAACATTGGCACCGAAATTCAACACCGCCTGAGCTCTGCGAGTGCAGCATTTTTCCGAATGAAGCAGAGAGTGTTTGAGGACCGGGACATCCGTAGGGATACCAAGGTGCTTGTCTATAAAGCTATTGTCCTCCCAACCCTGCTATACGCCTGCGAGACGTGGACTGTCTACAGACGTCACAGGCAACTCCTGGAACGATTCCATCAGCGCTGCCTCCGGAAAATCCTGCAAATCTCCTGGGAAGACTAGCGGACAAATGTCAGTGTGCTGGAAGAAGCAAAGAACACCAGCACTGAAGCGATGGTCCTCCGCTATCAACTCCGCTGGACCGGCCACGTTGTCCGGATGCCCA